GTGGCGCCCCGGACGCCGTGTTTCATAAGTTGGAAAATCCGAAATAAGAAAACTAAAGTCTTTACCGCTGGGGCGTGGCGCGCGGGTCCGTGCAGAGCCATGTGGGGCGCGCACCCCTTTGGATAGCGGAAGGAACGAGCTCAAAGGCGGTCACACACACACACACACACACACACACACACACACACACACACACACGAGACCGAGGTGCATGCGGCGCGTTGACGTCAACGCCGTCTGGAATCGAGGAGCGCCGGGTGAGCAGAAAAGGCCTCCTGCACGGTGCGCGCGCAAGATCGATAACTGAATGAACCACACACGAACCGCCGAAGAAGCGAAACGATTTGCGGCACGGTAATTGAAACACAGCAGTTACGTGCGTCAGTAGGAATCGAATCGACGCGGTTTGGCGACGGTGGGCCCGACGTCCCGAGGCTCCACGGAAGGGGCAGCAGAACAGCGAGGCGGCCAAAACTCCAGACTCGTTTTGAGCTTCAGAGACGCTGAATGGGACTTGAAACTAACGTGTGACCCCATCAATAGACTGCTCTCCGAACGAGGAATCTATTGGTGGGGTCACACGATCGGTTCGAGTCCCATTTAGCGACTGTGGAGCTCAAAACGCGTCTAGAGTCTTGACCGCCCGCGCAGTGTCGCCGCACGGATGGAAGCACTTGCAGTGGCCCCACCACGACCCCTTCGCGGCGGCTGGCCGAAACAGCGACCGCTTTGTGCAAGTGCGCGCGGCCCTGCGCGGCCCGCACCCGGGGGAAGCCCCCACGGCCCGGCCCGGCCTGGCACCTGCTCCGTGGACTGGAGTCCTGTGGGAGCGCGCCGAGCGCGGTGATGTACGGACGCGTCGGAAGATGGAAAGTCCCTGGCCGTCCCGCGCCGCCAGAGCCAGAGCGGCTTCCCCAGGGCCCCGCCGCCACCGCCGGCACGGCGCACATCCACCAGGCCGTGCCCCTGTTCCGCGCTCCGCTCCAGCGAGCCGGGGCGGGGCACCTCTGCCAAACCGGGCCTGGCCTGGCCTGGCCTGGCGCTCTTCAACTTCGTTAACAACCAGGGCCTCCGTGACGGCGGGGACAGTCACGTCACAGAAATGCTGCGGCCGTCGCCCGACACGCCCGCCGCGCCGCAGCCTACGGGCCGCCGGACACCCCGCGCTCCGCCGCTCCGCACTACCCCGCGCCGCTGCCACGGTAAACCACCAAACTTTTCAACCCGGCTAACTTTTGCCCATATTGAACCGACGCGGCGCCCGCACACACGGTCCCACGGTGACATGGTGACTCTTGGGTGGTGTATCATTCAACGCGGGGCTCCGGCCTGCTGGGCCCGCCGTGCGTCGGTAGGCACGCGGCCCAGCGCCGCCGGTATACACTCGGCACACACGGCGCGCCTCGCGGCAAGACACGGGCGAACCCTACACCGCACCCCTACAGGCGCTGAGGCCCATTGGGGCGGCGCACAGGCACACACCTTCGAGGCGGGGAGGCGCCGGGACTCGCGGGACGCCAAGCCAAACACGGTCTACACACCTACGACCTACGACGCCAAGGGTACCCGCCCTCTTCGCACTGGGCACTTACCGCTTGCCAGTTCCGTCCTCCCATACTCTCCCACTCTCCACTCGCCACTTTTCACTTCTTCTTTTACTCCCCACTGCCCATCCGACTGATTCTGAGAGTCGTTTCCGTCGCTCTGTCTCTCGCACCTACGGGACGGAGAGCGAGTGAGACGGAGCGACGATCGGTCTGCTGCCCGTCATCGCCTCGTGGGTGTGGCGCCGGCCCGTCGTTGTCGTAATGGCTTGGCGGCGTTTTGCGGCCGCGCTGTCCATCGCCCCCCCCCCCTTTCCCTCCCCGCCAAGGACAGCGGTTCCCGACACGGCACGGCGATGGCATGGCGATGCACCGTGGAGTGCCTGCCGCAGGCCGGGCGCTCTTATTTCCAGTCGAATTGCGGCGAGTGCCGCGACGGCCAGCCAGCGCCAGCCAGCGGCGCAACCGAGGGCGTAACCCGATCGGACGGCGGCCGGCCCGGGCGGCGCCACGGCCGCCACGGCCGCCACGGCCAGGGCCGCCAAACTGCAGCCGTCGTGTGTCCGCGGCGCTTTGACGGCCAGCAGACTGATGCCGCTCCGTCTCTCTCGCTCTCATGGGGCTTCCCGCTAAGGTGCGAGAGAGACAGAGCGACAACGCAAACGACTCTCGGAATCAGTCTGCAGACCATCGCGGCAGCAGACTGCTGCCCGGGTTCGAGACCAGTCGCCGTCTGTCAATTTTATGCTGGTTTTCCCCCTTTCTCTCTGTCTCTCTCTCCCTCTCCTCACTTTACAGCGGGGCCATGCGTGAGGCGCTTAGCGCGTGTTTGATGGGCGCAAGGTGCTTCTGCACCTCGACGGCGTGGGAGCGCCCGGACGGCCCGGACGGCCCGGACGCGGGACGGCGCGCCGAGCGGCCAGGACCGACACCGCGATGACGTCAACGACTCGCAGGGCATTCCAGGACGACAGGACAAACGATGAAATTCAAACGCGAGAGAGCAGTGCGCTAGCTACAACGACCGTCTACCCCCGAACAACGCGACTAATCCGGCTCACGGCTTTGTTTTGCGGGATGGCTTGGTCCCTCGGGACTGGTAGCGGGGGCGCGCGAGGACGACGACAACGGCCCTGTCGAAGTCCCTGGCGGCCATTGCAGTCTCCGCGGCGACGCCCATGCAGTCCACGCCATGCCGTCACCGAAGTTAAAAGGTCGGCGTCGGCTATGGCTTTACGGGCAACTTCGGAGGCAGCCGACCGTTCTGCCGTTCGACGCGCGCCGCACTTTCGGACGCCACCGCGAGGCGCTTTGCTCGCGCTCCGCCTCGCCAGCTTGGCCAGCTTGGCGCCCGCCTCCCGCGCGGGGCCACGCGGGGCCACGCGGGGCTCTGGGCGCTCAGGTCAGGTGGCCGCGCGGGCCGCGCCTCCTGGCCAGTGCCTGCCGGCCTGCCGCCGGCCTGCCGCGCCGCGTCACTCAGGCAGCCAGTCTGTCCGGGAGCCGGTCGGCCGCCGGCCGCGCCGCCGTCACTAGTAGTTGTTGCACCGCGTTGTGACTTGTGATAGCAGTTCGACAGTGTGGTGGCGTGTGTGGGCGTGCGTGTGTGTGTGTGTGCGCGCTTCATAAACTGTAAAATGGTTTTAGCGCTACCCTCGCCCTTATAAGAGGATTACCGCGTTATCGGATTACGCGGCCACGTGGGGCGCGGGCCGCGAGATGCGCCGTTCCGGTGCGCCTGGTGCGTCCGGTGCGCCCGGTGCAGCGATGCCGGTGCTCGGCCTGCTCGTGTCCGCCGTCGTGCTCTCCGCGCCGCTCTGCGGTGCGCAGCATGCACAGCATGCGCAGCAGGAGCGCTACCAAATGGGTACGCAAAACGGGGAGATTAAAGGAAAACGCGGAAGGGGAAAATGGAGGCGAAAAACACGCTTGGAAAGACCGGCAGCGTGTCTGGGTATAACGAGCCGCACCTGAGTGGAGGCGGCGCCGGCGGAGCGAACGGAGGTGCATCCGACGCTTGCCGGTGAAATTATCATCCGAGAGGTCAGCTATTACCCCGCCCCCGCCAGCGCTCCGTCCCTCTCGCACTCGTCCCGGGGCTTCGCGGGCTTCGCGGGCTTCGCGGGCTTCGCGGGCTTCGCGGGCAGGTGTGAGAGAGACGGAGCGCTGCCGCTGGAGCGCGCCATCGGTGTTCGCAGCGCGGCCGGCCGGCCGGCGCCGGCGCGCTATCTTCAAAAGTTTCATAATTTGGTTCCGAGAATGTGATATCGGACTGAAAGGCGGTGCGGCTCGCCGGAGCGACGCCCTTCGCTCCAGTCGGAGTGAAATCGGAGCAAAATGAGAAAATGGCGCTTCGTGTTTGGACGGAGGGGCGGGCGGGGCGGACGGCCGACGCGATGGACGGACTTCTGCACGGCTGTTGTTTACGCCCCGCTGCGCATTCCTCGATTCCTCGCAACGCAGGCAAACGCGCAAATGACACGCCGCGCCTTTCAGCGCGACCTGTGCGACCTGTGATGGCCGCGCCACCGTTTTACGATTGCCAGTAAATCAATTCAATAATTATTTTCATTTCGCCTTCCAGAAACAATAGTAGCTGTCGACGACGTTTGCCTCCGAAAACGAATTATTCCATCGACGCGACGCGGCCTCTTGTCGCGGTCAAGTAAACAGCGCGTAAAAGGGAAAGACGGAAAGAAAATGTTTGCAAGGCGAGGGCGTTACACTGCCAGCCAGTCCCCCTGATTATCACAGTTCATTTAAATTTCTCCTTCCTTTTCTTCTTTTTTTTTCTCTCTCTTTGTCGGAATGTGGGGAATTTTCGTACTCGCTCGAGAGTGCCGCCCCTAGCAGCGGCGCTCAAAGAGGCGGCCGAGAGAATAAAAGCCAGCCCCACTTCGGCCGGCACCGCCAGGCCGCCAGGGCGGAGACAGGACATGCCGGGTGGGACGCTGCGGGCCGAGACAGGTGCAAAATGCCTCCACTACTCCGGCAGTGCCGGCAGGCCATGACGTGGACAGGCGGACAGACGGACTTACGGACAGACCGACAGGTGGCTAGATGGATTAGCGCAAAGACGGACAGGCGAACAGACGGACGGGACAAGCTTCGTTCGGCAAACATCGCGTGACTCCGGCGCCTCACTCATTAACGAAAACGAGCGCCGTTTTGGGCTGGGTATTCCGGGCGGATGTTGATGAGGAATCATCGCAGGGCCGCTCGTTCCATGTTAATGTTCTCCATGCGTGACAACGAGGCTTTGTTTTAGAGTCCAGGTGGTGTCCGGAGCACGAGGGCCGCGGCGAGACGCCCGTCACCTGCGAGCGGCCGGACCGCTGTCCGGACTCCCGGGTGCTGTGGGTCGGCGGCGACCTGGCGGGCCAGCCGCGCAGGGTGTCTACGTGCGGCGACGGCCTGGTGTGCTGCCTGCCGCCGCCTGCCGCCGTCCGCGGACCGCAGGGTCTGCACGCGCACATGAAGCGCTTCGTCGTCAGCGACCGCGGCGTCGTCGCCGACCTCGGCAGCAACGACCTGCGCAACGCCGCCGCCAACCCGCTGGCGCTGTCGGGGTCCTCGGGGTCCTCGGAGCGCGGGGCGCACTCCAGGGCCGAGGCCAGGGCCTGGTACGGGGCGGAGCAGGCGCCAGGACTCGGCCCGCAGCCGGCGGCTTACTTTTCCGAAGCATCAGCAGCACCGCCTTGGCGGCCACCCGAACGCCAGCACGGCCAGCACGGCCAGCACGGCCAGCACGGCCAGCACGGCCAGCACTTCGAGACTAGGCAATTAGAGTACCGGCAATGGGGGCAGCACTTCGGGCCCGCCGAGTACGGCCAAGTTGCAGTGCCTCAGCAATTCGGGTCCTTCGGGTCCTTCGGGACCTTCGGGCCGCAGCGCTGGGCCGCGCCGGGCCTGCAGCAACAGCAACCCCCAGCCTGGCAGCGCGCCGAGCAGCAGCCCTTCGCGGGGCAGTGGGGCCGCCAGGACGCGGCCCCGCAGGAGAGGCTGTTCTTGCACGACGACAACCACCCCCAAGCACAGGACAGGGGGCGAAACCCGTCTCACGGCCAACGGGACGCCGCCGCCTTTCAGCAGCGGCCGAACACTCAGTGGAACGGGGCGGCGGTGAGCCGGTACCCTGCCTACGCTCAGAAGGACCTCCCTTCCTGGCAGCAGTCTCAGAGGCGGCAGCCCGTCGTCCAGCAGGACAACCACAGCCCCGCCGACCACCGCACCTCTCAGCAAAGGCGCCCTGCGACACAACAGGGCCTTCCCTACGACCAGCAGGGGTACCCTCAGTGGACGCCTCCCTCCCAGCAGCAGGAGCAATCCAACACCTGGCAGGACTACTCCCACTCTCAGCGGGCCCATCCCCAGCAATACCACTCCCAGTTCCCGCAGGAGCACTATTCCAACGCCCAATTTGGTTCCTACCCTCAGCAGCCCTCGCCAGATTATTCCTACCCTCAACAGGTGCAGTCCCACCCCCAGCAGGACCGTCCCGACACCCAGCAGGATCGCTCCGCCGCGTCGCTCCCAGTGGGGCGGCAGGGGTTGGAGAGCTCCTCCGTGCCGCCGCCGTGGACCGCCCCGTCTCTGGCCGTGGGTCATGCAAGCGTACAGGAAGGCGGCCTGTGGCAGGGCGAGTCGCGAGAACCCTGGACGACCAAGTCCTCGCCACTGGAGGCACCGGGGCCGAGTACGCCGAGCCAGCAGCCGAACCAGCACTTCGGAGAGCCGCAGCCCGGCGACGCGGCACAACCCCACGGCAGTCCCAGCCCCAGCGACCCCAGCAACCCCAGCAACCCCAGCAACCCCAGCAACCCCAGCAACCCCAGCAACCCCAGCAACCCCAGCGACCCCAGCAACCCCGGTGGAGCGACTCCAGAGGGCCCTACTCGCCTGCAGAGCCTGCAGCCTCCCAGCCCTGGTGCCAGGAGCAGGCAGAGTACGTGAAGCTACCAAACATGTTATCCTCCACTCTTCCTCTTAGAGTTCCCTGTCGCACTGACAGCAAGAGGGTGTACCGGCAAAACTGAAACGGATATGTTCTTAAAGAACCTAAACCTTCTGGGCTTATTTCTGTTGAGTCTCCAACGAAAAAGTCGGAAAAAGTATATTTGGTCCAATGAGTTGACATCGCGAATTCGCAAACTCTCCTGCCGCAAAGAGTTTCTGCTCCTCTGAATTTCCGTTTAGGTTTGTTGGAATACTCCCTTTCTTTCGGGAAAAAGCTGTTGTCCATTTTGTTAAATTTGAATTCGGTTAAATTCTTTGGTGGAATTGGGTCGAGAGGCACTGTAACGGCAGCAGCTTATTCCATGTTGGGGGTGATGGGTCGCTTTCCCCGCCATGCCACTTTCGAGCTCGTGGCAGCTCTAATTCGGCCCGGCCTTGAACCTCGCCCCGTTTTGCCCCCCCAGTGTGCGAGCGGTACTCCAGGGCGACCCGGAAACAGCTGCGGGCGAACTCCCTGCTGCTCGGCGGGGACGACCTCGAGCAGGCGAACGCGGCGAACGAGGCGCACGTGGGGGACTGCAGCAACCCCATCTCGCTGGTCGTCGGGGGCCAGAACGCGTCCCAGAACGAGTTCCCCCACATGGTGAGCAGCAGCAGCGGCAACCACCGAGATGCATCAAAGCCAAGGTCTTGGGGCGGGGCGACCTTGGGGAGCGGGGCGGGGACGGTAACAACGCGCGAAGCCAGCCAATTTGCAACGGGAATAGCAAACGGCTTTCTTCAGCGAAGGGAAAAAGTTGCACATGTTTCAAATACTCGGTGCTCGCTCAGTCCTTTTCTTTTGACAGTTCTAAACGTGAAACGAGGGAATGCAGAAGCAGTCCTGCGTCGTGCTCTCCCCCCCCCCCCACACCCTCTTGTTAATCCGCGAGCAGACGCATCGGGCACGACAAGTGACTGTGTGAAACGAAATCGCGGGGAGGGAGAGGGGGGGCACTCCCACCAGTAGCCGAACGCCGCGCGCCAAATGTGTTGACAGTTTGTGTGTGCTCTGGGTGCTCTGCAGGCGGCGGTGGGCTTTCGCAGTGGCGGCGAGCTGGACTGGCTGTGCGGCGGCTCCCTCATCAGCGAGCAGTTCGTGCTCACGGCGGCGCACTGCACACACACGGGCTGGTGAGTGAGTGTGGGTGAGGCCGCGCGGGCGCACGGACTTGGAGGAAAGAAAATTGGGAGAATTCTTTGTGGGACTGGAGCGACAAGGTCTGGACAAGGTAGCCGCGATCCGGCGACGCAGGGAGTTGAGGAGCTACTCACGACGCGCAATTCCGGGCGGGACGGCGCGCTCCATATTTTAAAACTTTGTGATACTTTTAAAAACGTCAACAATTCATCAAACTTTGAGTGTGCACGCCCAACTTTCCCTGTGATGGAGGTCGCGGAGGGGCGTGGCCGGGCGTGGCCTAATCCGCGTGCTCTGAGACGGTGTCCGTTTCCGCCAGGGGGAGCCCCGTCGTCGTCCGCGTCGGGACGTCCTTCCTCGCCAACGCGCCGCCCTCGGCCCGCGCCGCCATGGACGTGGCCGTCAAGGAGGTCGTGCCGCACCCCCAGTACGCGCCGCCCGCGCGCTACCACGACATCGCCCTGCTTCGCCTGGACGGCGCGCTGGCCTTGTCGGACCGCGTGCGGCCCGCCTGCCTGCCGCCCCCGAGCGCCGACCTGCTGCAGCAGCCCGGGGAGCTCCCCGACGACCTCCACGACGACCTCCACGACGACCTGCCCGCCGACTCCCTGGTGGTGGCCACGGGCTGGGGCAGGCTCTCGTACGGTAAGTGACACGGAGTTTATCTCCGGGTACCAAGGTCCTCCATCCACCAGCACATCTTTTCTGCGATGCGGAAACTTTCCGAAACTCTTTCGCAAACTCCACGGCGGTCTCTCGTAGTGGTATTGGCAAAAACGTTGGCAGGCGACCTCGGGCTGACCTCGGGATATTGGCGAACGGCTTAATCGGCGGAGCATGGGGTGAAAACGGCAGGCCGTGCAGCCCTACAGTGGCGCAGCGCGCAGCCCTCGAAACACTTGGGCGGCCACGCTCGAACGCACGCGCGCGTTCGGTTCGCCCTCAAGCACCGCCGTGCTGCCCTTGCTGAACAGTGAGTGGAACAGCCCTGCCCTGCCGACCATGTCGGCCCTTGCCGGCTCCCCGCCGCCGCCAGTCCGGCCGTCCGCGACGGTCCGCGATCCCCGAGGCAGATGCCGCGGACTGCCGCGGACAGCCCCGGAGAAGTGGGACGAGTAGCCGCCGTGGAAGCTGCGCAAGCTGCGCTCCTGCAGCGCACCGAGTGCCCGATGATAACAATAAAAGTTTCTTCATTAGGCGGAGCAGCGCGGGGCGGCGAGGTGCGCTCGCCTCGCGCGCCTCGTCGACTTGTTGAGTCCCCGACTTGCCTCGCCCATTCCGCCCTTCTTGTCGGCAGCCGGCGACGCGAGCGACGTGCTGCAGAAGGTGCCGCTGCGGGTCTGGCCACGCTCGTCCTGCGCGCGCGCCTTCCAGCCGGACGCTGACGGCGCGCACGGCCTCGGACAGCGCCAGCGCCTCCAGGACGGCCTCGGCCCCGGCATGCTGTGCGCCGGCGACCCGCACTCCAACAAGGACACGTGCCAGGTTGGTAAGCCTTCCAGCCCATCCGCCTATCTTCGGAACGACGGGGAGCCCACAACTGCACTGTCCGCATGCGGGCGCATGGGGTGGAGCGGATGCTGTCAACGGCGATGTTCTTGACGGTGTGCCAGACTGGCCCGGCCCGGCCTGGGTTTGCAGCGCTCGCCTAAAAGTTACCCTGCCCTGTGCAACCGCGCGGAAAGCCACGCACCTGCCGGGCGGGGGTCGCGGGGGGTGCACACTGCCAACCCTGCTCAGCGCGGCCAAGGCCGAGGCAAAGGCCTCGTGGCCGTGGCCTGGCTCGCTCGGCCCTGCTCGGCCGCACGGACGGAGAAAGGGGGTGCCAGCGTCGCGACAGCATCCTGCATTCTGAACTTCTACGACCGGGGGAGGGGGAGCGGAGGGGGCGTAGACCGATCAGCAAATGGGGCCGTAAGCGGGGGACAAACAACTTACAGGTGACTTGGCAATCCTGTAGGACGCCGCGCACCGCCACGCCTCGCCGTGCCACACAACGCCACGCCACGCCACGCAGAGCCAAGCCCGCCGTGCCGACGCCGAGGTCGGAGGCCGAGTGTACCCGATAGGGGAAGGACAACCCAGGGTATATCTATCCTAGGGTCGTGGTACCGAGGGGTACATCATGACTAGGTCTGATGTACCCGGCGGGTACAATGAGCCGAGGCACCAAGCAAGTTGTACCCCAGGTAAAATGCGCCGAGGCGAATAACGTCAAGGGGCCTGCCACGCAGCAAATTTGATTTTACCTAAATTTGGTACAACCTCCGGGTACTTCAGACTTCGTCATGACGTACCCCTAGGTTCCATGACCCTGGGATATGTGCACCCTGGGTTGTTCCGCGCTAACGGGTACAATGCGCCTCCTACACCGGCCAGGGCCTTGCGTGTTGCGCACCACCCCCACCCTCTCAGGGCTGCTGTTTACACACAAGCCTCTCCAGTCGACAGGGCCTGGCGGGGCCACCGCTGCCGCTTCCAGGAGTCGTCGGAGTGCCTGGAGGTAACGCGACGGCTTGGAGGCGCCGCTCGCGGCGAGGTGGCGGTGCGCGCGGTGCGGCTGCGGCTGGTGGCGAGGCTGGTGGCGAGGGGGGCCGGAGGGGCTGGCGCGGCGAGTGTGTGATCGGCGTGCGGCCGCGAAACCCGACCCCGCCGAGCCGCGGCCTCTCGCTGCGTCAAAGGGGGAAGTCGCCCGGAAAACCATTTCCCGGCTCACAATAAGGAGCGGCGACCACCGCGCCGCGTCTCGCCGCGTCTCGCCCCCGGACTTGCCGACGACGCCGACGTCGACATGGACCTGGAATGGCTGTGGCGGGCTGCTGCCCCGATACCGGACATTCCGCCCGTGGAGCCGCCACTTTCCGATACCACGCCGTGACCCGCAACCCACCTTGACGCCCCCGGCACCACCAGGCACCACCCCCACCCCTTTCGCCGCGCTGCCCGGCGGCGGGGCCGGACGGCCGGACCACGGCCGGGCGGCGGAGAGGAGGGGGAGGGGGGGGCGTGCAGGCAGCGGCAATCCCGGCCCTTGATGGATGTGCGCCGGGCCGGCCGCACTGGCCGCACCGGCCGCCACCAAATTCAAACTCGCCGCGCCGCTTCGTGGGGCGTCGCTCGTCCAGAGAGACTACGGGGCGGCCGGACCGCCGGACCTCGGGCCGAGCGGCGATTGGGACGTGCCACGCCGACAGAATTTTCATCACAGTCTAGTCGAATCGACAAGCCATACATCACGGCGCGAAAACGGGGACGGAGGGGGGGGGGTGTTTGTGAGCGTGGAGGGGGTGAGGCGGCTTTCTACCGCAGTTCTGTCATGCGGTTGTCACCGGGGCGGCGGGCTAGCAGCAGCAGCGGGGTGGGTAAAAGCCAGTCGAGTCTGCCAATGCGTCGCCCGAGAGTGCGGGCTGTGCTCACTCACACACGACGCGCGCACACCAACACAATCGTATCCTGTTTATTTCGACATCATGTCACGCGTAAGCTACGTTTAAGCCGTGGTGTAAGCAGCTTGTCTTTGTAGGGACACAATGAGGAAAATTCATTAGTAAGCGGGTGACTGTATAGACGTAGTGACTTTCCCCTTAGTTAACGCAATGTTTTTGCTCCACATTGTTGCTTTGTTTTGGAAATTTGATTTTTGATTTCCTGTTTGCTTTCTTGCAGGGAGACTCGGGAGGCCCCCTGCAAAGGGTGACGCCCGATAACCCCTGCGCCTTCGAGGTGGTGGGCATCACGTCGTTCGGCAAGGAGTGCGGCCTGGGGCTGCCCGCCGTCTACACCAAGGTGTCCTTCTACGTGGCCTGGATCGAGAGCGTCGTGTGGCCGCAGTAGAGGCTTCCAACAATGTGTGGATGCAGTGTGTGGAATTCAACTCTACTCGTATTCCGGAAGATATTTATTGGCACACACAATCGATTTGACAACAGTATGTTCAGGAATACATTTACATTCTTTTTGATATGCAAATTCACAATCATTCATGAAAACTATATTTATGTACATATGACCTACAATACTGCTACAATAAGGAACGAATAAATTGTACGTTACAATAACGATATAACTTCTAAAATTAAACTTCTAAGTACAAAATAAATGACTTACGTACACTCATTCGCTTCTCACAACGATCAACCATTACGACGGCACTACCATAAACCTATACAAATCGGTCAAAATTAAGTGAGCAAATCGCTTAGAAAGTCAGTCACGCTTTAGACACCACAAACAACGCAATGTAAACAGAGGACAGGACCATCGTTCGAGCAGAACAAGTACATGCTTACCAACGACAACCATACCGTTGCCTAAGTAACTACAGGCAGTCCAAACAGTAAAAAAAGACTAATAGAAGCTGCCTATCTTACTTTTTGTCACAGCGTTAAGAATTTCTAAGGCGGCCGCTTGTTTTGGAGCTAATCTCTAGGCAGAGCTCACACGATAAAACTACTGCTGGCTCTGTTATTTCGGGTTCGCTACACCTCGCCAGATGCACGGCTCAGGTTCGTGGCAGTCCGGTGAGGTGTAACGAACGATTTGCACGGGAAAGAGCGCACCGAAGTCAAATGGGGCTCGTGTTTGCGAGGCTCCCAGATGATGGCAACTCTCTACGTCTACACCGTACACAACTGAAGCGGCTGCTGCGGCGTTTATATTATTATTATTATTATTATTATTATTATTATTATTATTATTATTATTATTATTATTATTATTATTATTATTATTATTATTATTATTATTATTATAGCGTTCTTATGTCCTGATCCTAGTTACGCAGCCACGGGTTCGTTCAGAGCGAGATGTTGGTGCCCGCGTCCGGCACCACGTCGGGCGAGGGGTGCATGGCCATGGCGAGCCCCACGCCGCTGCCCCTGCTGCCGCGCGGGCCGCCTAGGACGGCCAGCCCGTGGATGGGGCTGGCGGGGCAGCGCGGTGGCGGCAGCGACAGCGGCAGGGGGTGCAGCGGGTGGAGGGGGTGGTCCAGGGCGCCGCCGTTCACGTTGACGCTGCTCGCCAACTTGGCGGCGTGGCTCGGACACAGCCACTCCTGCAGGCGGCCCGTCCACGTGGGCCTGCAAGAACAACAACAACAAGACTGTTCTGTAACCGACCTCGCCACAACTCAGAAAAGTCGCGCACTCTCCCCCCCCCACTCTCTTCCCGGTGTTTTGTTTTGTTTCTTTATTCGACTGTATGCAAATGCGTTGGTGTGTGTGCGTGCGCTGCGCTCAGCGCGCCCAGGGGTGGAATAAAGCGGTTGTCGCCGCCCCGCGCCCGTCGCGCACGTCGAGCACGTCGTTAAGAATGGCGGCCGGCACGGCGTCACCGCGGCGGCAGCGCAGGCGGCAGCCCGAATAAAAATACGCACCCCCAAAACGCGCCTCTGTCAAATCGGCGAGCGCGGATTGGCCGGAACAGCGAGGAGGAGCGAGTCTCTGTCAGTCTGTGCTGCCGCGGCATGCCGCGCGAAACGCAGGCGACAGAACGCGCTGCGGGCGGAGCGGGCGGAGCGGGCGTTGTGGGAGCGCACGGATGTGGCGTTGTCGCTGTCGCAGCGCGGCCGAACCCGGCGGCCCGGCCCGGGTCGGGCTCCGGCGGCGGGCGCCCTCCGCAGGCTGCGCCCGGGAGGCAGGCAGCCCAGTCGGCGTCGCGGCGCGTGCCTCCGGCTGCTGCCTACGCCGCGAGGGGTCGCTAATGATGTTGATGGATGGGATGGGCGCGGTGCGGCGCGGTGCCTCGCGGCGCGGCCACCCCTTCCAGGGCTCACGGCCCGGGCTGCCCGGGGCCGCTGCCACCCCTCGAGGAGCATCCTTCGAGTGGCGCGGCCAGGGCACGGCAGAGCGGTGGAGGGCGGAGCCGAGGGGGCGGAGCGGCGCAAACGGAAACTAATTGAACTTGTATCGCAGCGACGCAGCGACGCAGTGCTGCAACACTGGCCGCTATTATGCACCCCCCCCCCTCCTTTCCACTCGCCCCGCCCCGCGATGTCCGCCCGACCGCGATAATCAAGTGATGTACGGACACGACGCGCATGAACGGGCCGGCCCCGCCGCCCGGCACCCCGTCTCTCTCGCACGCCACCGGACGCACTGCGAGTGCGAGAGAGACCGAGCCACGAAACCAACTGCCGCGCGCGTGGGTCCGCTTCCAATTCTGCAGAGCGCGGGCGAAAAATAGAACGGGAGGAAAAATGGCGTGGTGGCACTCCGTCGAGCACTCCGTGGCACTCACAGCGTGGCGGTCCACACGGCCACCAGCACGGGGACGATGACGGCGGGCAGGAAGGCCAGCCACACGAACAGGCAGAAGAGGATGTCGAAGTGGCCGGAGTTGGAGTACGTCTCCTGGACCACGTGCTTCACCATCCTGCAAGGCAGACAGGCGCTTCATCAGCATCATTTCGTAGAACCACATGCTTTGCATTCCACGGCTCTTTCCCAATTCGTTTTCGTTCCCGGGTAAACTGTTTCGCCCCGGAACGCGATGGGTGGGGACACGAGAAGCGGAATGGAAGTTGAATTAAAATGGGCGAGAGGAGAGCCCCCGCGCCCAGAGGCGCACCTGGCTAGCCGGCTGGAGCCGAAACTGGAGCCGGGGCTGCATGCCCTCCAGCACAGCCTTAATTGCATTGGAAAACCGGGATGGCGCGCTCGAAAATCACCTCAATTACCGTCGCTTTGATGAATCACCAATATCGTACCTGTTTTCCTCGCCCACTGGGAAAGTATTTGCAGTGCTGCACCGTCAAATATGACGAGATCAGTCATTTTTGGAGTCTTACTTTCCGCTTCCTCTTGTAACCCCGAAGCCCTGGCGTCCTAATCACTTCGCAATCTAACTTTGCGCATGTTAACGCGTGTGGCGTAACCAGATCATCTCCCCCACCCCCTCCCTCCGCGCGGTTCAACAGCGTAAATATGCTTACCGCAGCACCATGAGCGGCAGCAGGCACAGCGCGAAGGCCAGGTTCATGGCGACGAGGAAGCGCTGCGTGCGCTGCTCGCGGTGCAGGTCCTCCTCGGCCTCCAGCTGGATGCTGCCGGCGCGGCTGGGGCACGTCACGCTGTGGCGGGGCCCGCTCCGCCCGCTCAGCGTGTACAGCTGGCCGGCGCTCGGGAACCTGAGACACACAAACAGCGTAGATGACAGCGCGCGCGACCTCGGGGGCGAAGGTCGCGGGTTCGAGCACCGCGCCTCACCTGCGTTTCGTTTTAACTTTTCGACAGTCTTGACGTATCGGCTGGCGGCATAGGCGGGTGGGCCCCGACGAGCCATTCATATTGAATAGTGTCTACGGCGGCGTCGCGTCACGGCGGCGACAGTTGGCGACCAAGTTGGCCGCAAACATGGAAACCCTCTCCGAAAACGGCGTGGCGACGACGCGACGCGCAGCCAAGGCAGCCCGCGGGCGCGAGCGGCGCGAGCCAGCTGATTTGGAATTTGGCATGGCATGGCGTCGTCCCGGCGTCGCAGCGCCCTCCCACCGCCAGCAAGCACAGCACTGCGAGTCCACAATGGCGATACAGACCATTGTCTGGCCGTCCCGGCCATCTCGGCGTCGCGGCTGTCTCCGGCCGGCCCTCCCAGCTCGCCTCCCAGCTCGCCTCCCAGGCCGTCTGCGTGGAGGCTTCCTTCCCGCGCCGTCTCTCGCCGCCCCTCGCCAACCCGCGCCGCGACTGGATTGTGATTGAAAGAGGCAGACGACGGCGACCACTGCTCCCGTTCACAGCAGACTGATTCCGAGAGTCGTTTTCGTCGCTCTGTCTCACTCTCGCACCTATAAAGGACGCCCCATGAGTGCGAGAGGGACAGAGCGACGAAAACGACTCTGCTCGGGGTCGGTCTACAGGCCGGCAGGCCAAAAGCATCGAGCACCTCACGGCTGGCTGCGGGGCTAGGCGGGGCTAGGCGGGGCCAGGCCGGGGCGGTCGCCCCCGCCTAATGAACCCTGCCGAGGACAGCAGGCAAGCCAGACCAGGACGATTCCGCGCAGCGCTGTCGCCGCTCTGTCGCTCTCGAACTCACGGGGCGTCCCGGGGGAGCGCAGGGGAGGCGGCACTTGGTCGGAATCAGTCCGCAGGGAGCAGGAATCAGAGCCCCGCCGGGCCGGGCGCGCCCTGGGGCCCGCCTAGGGGCCCGCCCCGGGGCCCGCCCAGGCTAGCCCTCGCCACTCACGAGAGCCTCAATTGGCAAAGACAACCCCCGCGGAGAGCCCGAGAGCACTGAAATTGGTACGCCTGACTCGACCGCGCGCTGCGCAGCGCTGCGCTACACAAGCCCCGCAAACGACCTGGCCTGGCCCACGCGCCGGGCCGCCCCGGACCGCCCGGTGGGGTGAACCGGCGGGGTGGTTTGGTTCGCCGAACCGCGTCCTCGTTTGTGTGACTAAGCAGACTGATAATGAGTGTCCAGACTACTGCCGCCACTGCTGTCTATTTCAGGAAAACAACAAAAGACCACCGTTCGGATAATACCTTTCTGGATCAAAGTCATCCCGGGCAGTGGACAGCGCGACTTGCGCTAGCTATTTTTGTTTTTGGTTTTGTTTGTTCTGCTTGCCCGGCATGACAAATGCAGGCCATCCCGCAGTCGTGCTCCGCTTTACCGTCACATTGGCAAACGATTATTCAACCTCCGGACTGCTTCCACGCGACACTAGCGAGTCCAGTCCGCACCGATGACGTCACGTCGGAAACACCCCCACCCCCTGTCCCTCTGCCGGGGAAGCCCCAGACCGCCGGGCACGACGCGGTGTGTGTGCGGTCGCTCTCTGCCCAGGGTGCAGTCCACCGCGAATCGCCCCGCCCCGCCCCGCCCCAAGGTGCGCCCACCATTTGTTTTCATTACGTCCCGGCAGGGTAAGCGGAAATCAAAGCAAAACCACGCGGCAGTGACACCCGCCGCCCGCCTGCCCCGCCTGCCCCGCCAGACGGGCAGCAGCCGAAAACTCCCTCTCCTGAAGCACGCGGTACGGCCAGACAAAGAAATGCCTCGCCGCGCGGAAAACCCAAATATATTTCAGCTCTGCTCTTTCGTCTCGGGGTCCGTCTGGATGTGGTGCCGGCCGGAGCGCCGCACTCGAGAAAAACCACCGGCAGAGGTCGTTCGCCCGTGGTTCCACCCGCCGAATTTGGAAAAGAGTTTCGAGGGAGCATGCGCCTTCCCTGAAATCGTGCACGACAAAGCCTCCCTCGATGCGAATTTTCGGGCAGGACGATGACTCCGTGATTCTCGGTCGTCGTGAAGGGGTGGTTAACGAGGCACGGCGGCACGGCGCTCGGAAGCGAGCCGAAGGTGCGGCCGGAGGCAAGACGGGGCCTTTAGCGGGCTGATTCCGAACGGTAATTCCTTCTCTCCGTCTCTCTCGCGCACATGGGGCGAAACTATCACCGCCAAGGGTGCGAGAGAGACAGAGCCAACTCAGCCTGCATGGCCCAAGGCGCCCAAGGCGCCCAGGGCGCTCGAATTACCTCGGGTCGGCGGTGGACAGCGACGCGGCTCGCAGCCGCTCCTCGTACATCCGCACCCTGGAGGCGCCGGACAGAGCCTGCCGCTTGAGCATCAGGTGGACGCGGCCGTGGAACAGGACGCTCAGCAGGATCGGGATGATGAACCTGGCGGCATGCCGCGGGGCAGGACAGGCGGATTAGTATCGCGTCGTGTCGCTCCAGCGAGGCGGGGGCGAAGGCCGTGACACTCACACGCCGGCGAAGGCCACGCAGATGTAGGTCTGCATGTCCTCGGCCAGGTTCAGGAAGCAGATGCCCACGCCGTGGAACTGCTCGCGCATCAGGCTCTGCAACCGACAAAGAAATCCGTTACAACAACAACAGCATTGCTTGAGGGCGTCGCCGTCGCGATGACAGCACGAAGCGCCGCGAAATGTGCCGAGCGCCACGGTCCGCCAAGATTTAAGCGGTGCCGTGCGTCTCTCCTAAACTGCCGGTTGTTATGAATGTGGAAGGCGTCGCCGGCCGGGCTGCCGGTGCTCTGTTAGGGGCGGGGGGCGCCGCGGGGAGCCGTGGCGCCGTCCTGTGAGATTTAGGGCGGGAAGGCGGCATCCAAGTCGGCACCAACTACATCGTCCTTTCGTCCTGTTCGTTTCCAACTTCGCGCCCCGCACTGGCCCCTAGGATGACGTAGCCTAGCCTAACCTCACCTAACCTTGTCGAACCTAACCTAACCTTGACCAACCTACCTAACCTTGAGCAACCTACCCAACCTTGACCAACCTGACCTAACCTTGACCAACCTAACCTAACCTGGACCAACCTGACCTGACCATGACCAACGTACCTAACCTTGACCAACCTAACCTAACCTTGACCAACCTGACCTGACCTTGACCTACCTGACCTGACCTTGACCAACCTAACCTGACCGTCCTAACCTAACTCTGCCCAACCTATCCTAGTCTTGCTTTACCTAACCCAGCTAGCCGGTGCACGGTAAAACCATTACAAAACCGATACTGCTGAAAGTCCGAGGAGAACTCCCTGGGAATGGACCAATATTCCTGGGGCTCCCAGGAGATGGTTTTACCGTGTGGGGGCAACCATCAGCCTTTCTGTCTGCTGTGCTCTTGATTCATCCCCGGCGCTTCATTACGCCCCCGAGGACGTCGCTTCGCGCTTCGCGTTCCCCGCAAATATGTCACTCACGAATCCGTCTCGCGTAACGCGGGGCGACGCGGGGCGACGCGGGGCGACGCGGCCCCCGCCTTTAACGAGGCCGCCGTTTAATTAGAACGATCTGAATGCGGAGGGCGGAGCGGAGTGGAGCAGAGCGAGACGCGGATGGCGAGTCTATGCGACGTGACAAGGGCGGCCGGCCGGGAGGGGGTGGGGGACAAGGCAGAGGGAAAGAGGGCAGTCGTTGAAAAAAAAATAGCAAACACAAACTGATCCAGGTCTGCGGTTGACGGTTCCACCAGAGCGGCTCCAGGCGACCTGTTCGTTGCCACCGGCACCCTCATTTACCCATTTGCCCATTTGCCCACTCACTCGAGCCATTATTGTGTCGTGTCCGAGTCGCGCATCGCGGCCCGCGGATGAATAATTGATTACTTCTTCCCCCAAACCGCGACCGACCGCGACACTGTCTCGGGGCCGACGGGGCTATTGCGGGGACGTGCCCCCCGCAGCGCTGCCCGCCAGCTCGGTCCGCCCGGTCGGTTTGCCCGGACAGGCAGAAGGACGGGGTGGCCGTCCAATGGGCGTCGTTTCGTTTTCGCTTCTCGTACTGCAGACTTTCGTCGCTCTGTCCCTCTCGCCCCCAAGCGGGATGCCCAATGAGTGCGGGAGAGACAGAGCGACGAAAACGACTCTCGGAATCAGTGTGTTCACCCTGAGCAAGCACGCAGGCGAGTGCCACGTGGAGGATGGCGAAGGTGGGCACCCAAGGCACGGCGCTGCAGGCACTAACGGCCTAGGGCTGCCCGGTTGGCCCGGGCCGCCGTCCACTTGATGGCACGATGATGAGCTCGAAAGAAGGGCCGGCAAGCCTTGGGCAGCCTCTCGTGACCATTGTGCCGCTCCTCGCTGGGCCACGCCGGCCACGCCGTTAGCCGGCCATTACAGTGCTGTGCGCTGCTGCTGGGCTGCAGGCGGATTCCGCGAGTCGTCTTCTTCGCTCTGTCTAGTCCGGCGCAGTCCGGTGCAGGTGCGAGAGAGACAGAGCGACGAAAACGACTCTCGGAATCCGCCTGCTGGACCGATGCGCCCATCTCTCTGTCTCCCTCGCACGCATGGGGCGGCTCGCATTGGTGCGAGGGAGACAGCGCGATGTGCCGCCCCGTGCGCGCCCCGTGCCTCCGCGTTGCGCCGCGTCTCGGCGACACAGCTGCCCCACAGCTCGCTCACAGCGGCCCTCGGGCCGGCCTGCGAGGCCCGATGCTTCCACGGACGGGAGGAAGACGGACTGCGGCGCGGTGCCACGCCGCCCCTTTTTCTGTCGCCTAAATAAGCAGGCGGCCGGCCTTGCGTTCTCGCCGCTCTCGCTCGCTTTTTGTTGGCGGCGGGGGCGGCGGAGGGCGGGGGGCGGCGGGGGCGGCGGGGGGGCGGCGGGGGCGGCGGGGGCGGTACGACGTGCTGGTGCGACGGGACGCGGACGGTCGCGTCGCAGCGCCGCCATCCAGGACGGCCAGGCGACGGCCAGGCCACCCAGGACGTTGCATCTTCTCGGAAACAAATTTGCATCGTTATCGCAATATTTGTCGACTTTAATAATTCTCGCTGCGACGCCGACGCGCCGTGGCGCCGCCAGAGACGCGGAAAAGCGCCCCCGCTGTCTTGTTCCCCCATTTCGGCGGAGGGAGATCTCTCTAAATTAAAGTGCAGATGATGCCCTTTCTGCCCTACATATACATCCCAACCTCACCCCGAAAAAAAAAAGGAAAAGGAAAGCAAAACTAGCAAGAAGTCGCCCCCGAAAAGTCGAGATATTAATTACCAGTCGCAGACTCGGGGCGAGCAGCGAAAGCAGCGAAAGCAGGCCGGGGGGGCTGGACTAACAACGGCAAGCCAAGGGCGGGGAAAGCGGGAGCGATTGATGGAAAAGGGGGAGGGGGAGGGGAGGGGGATTCGAGTGGTTGAAACGGGAAACACTGCCGGGCCATGCCGGGCACCTTGGGGGCCTGTAGAGGGGCCTGTGAGGGGCCTGTGAGGGGCCTGTACAGAGAGGCTTGCAAAAGAAAAACAAAGAAAGGCAATGCGCACGCCACTTGGCTATCTCCGCCGGCCCTAAGCAGCTCCAACCCCAACAGCAGCCCGCGGCTGCCCACTGCCGGAAAGAAAAGCAGACACCCCCCCCCCCATCTCTTTTCCGCCATCGCGCTCGCCACAGACCGCAGATATCGCTGTTTGAGCAGGCTTTATTGCCGCGTGGTAAATCGCCTGCCCGCGCCTCGCGCTCAATGTGCGCGTCTTCCCTCATTCGCCCCACTCGCTGCGTTTTGCCGTTTTTCATCCCCAACCTCGGCCACTTTAGACGCGGTGGGTACGCACCCCTCCAGGACGCCCCATGAGTGCGAGAGAGACAGAGCGACGCGCTCCTTACAGTGCTCGGCCATGGCCCACCACACTGAATCTGCGACACGTCGCGCTGCGCGGTCCCGGCATGGTCCCGGTGTGCGAACCACCACGACGTCACTCCGTCACTCCGAGCCCCGCCCACTCCGAAAAAAGGCAACCCAAGAACCAAGGGAAACAAAAACACACGGGCGCTGTTTTCTTCTGGGCGACTTCTGTTTGGTCTGGAAATCTACCGTCGAAATCATTCTTCATTTCCTCGATTTCCTCGTTCCTTTCGCCCCGGGCTCGACGATGACGACGCAGAGTTGCAAAGAGCTGCAGTCACAATACAAATAAACTGGGTCGCTATTTCCTTGATTGGGCACGGCAACGTGACCGAGGGAGGAAACTTGCCGCTTTCGTTGTACACACAATTTTGCAGTGGGGCACCCCTTGAACGTAATGCGGCTCGTGAGCTGAAGGGGGCTTGCTCGTGTCGTCATCCGGACGCTGCCACGGCCTTGTCTCTGTCGTGTCGGACTAGTCTACCCCCTGGCTCGCCCCCTGGCGACACAAGCGACACAGGATTCTGAAGAGTCGTTTCGTGGCTCTGCGTCCCTGTCGCACCTATGGGCCCTCCCGGGGAGTGCGAGAGAGACAAAGCTGGACCGTACTTAGCTGCCACACTGTTGTCCCAGACACACAGGGGGCCAGAAGACCGTTGGAGGCGCCCAAAACTCTATACGCGTTTTGAGCTCCCGCTAAAGAGGACTCGAACCGAACGTCTGACCCTATCAACGGGTTCCTCGTTCGGAGAGCAATCCATTCCCACGTTCGGTTCGAGTCCCATTCAGCGACTCTGAGCTCAAAACTCGTCCGGGATTTTGACCGCCTCCACCAACCAGTCTTCTGGCCCACTGTGCGTCATCGACACAAGAAGCTAGACTCACCCCCAAGTCGAGGTACGAGGTGAAGGCGGGGTAGGGCAGCACGATGAGGCTGCTGACGATCCAGATGCAGCACGCCGTCACGTTGGCCGAGAAGGGCTCCGCGGCCGGGTTCTTGTGGAAGCGGCACCGGTCGTAACTTATGGCGCTGAACGTGAGCATCACGACGTGCAGCGGCACGTCCTGGAGGAGAAACAGAGAGAGAGACTATGAACGTGGTGCGCCGAGCGGCGCGGGTCGCGCTGTCGCTGCGAGCGGCGCGAGCGGAGACGCCACGCCACGCCCTGCGCTGGAAGAGGAAGGTTCAAGTATTCATGACTGCGAAGCGTAGCGAAGGTACAAAGAAGCGGGAGCCCCGAAAACTGTCAATTTACAGGGGGTAAAGTTTGTAGATCGAAGCAGTCGAAGCAAACCATAGTTTGAGTCTGGTGGCCCTCGCCTCGGCACGGGGAGACCCTTGTTGGCTCTGTTTGCATCCTTTCATCAAGCGTCGGGTTGGCCCTGTCGTGTCGACCTGTCGGGCCGGCCGTCCTACGGCTCTCTGCCAAGCCGCCGCGCCGCCGCGCCGTCAAGCACTGCTGCGGAGGATGTCCTCCCGCGGGAAATCACGTCACCTGGACGCCGAGGACGCCGACGGCACGGCAAAGGCCGCCCCGCCGCCCGACCGCCCCGCCGCCTCAAACAACAGTACAGAAACTTGAGTAGTGCGAGCTCTGCCTGCGTGGCGTAGGGCTCCTCGCCGACTGCCACAGGGCCGGGCGGCCTACTCGGGAAAGCGCTTTCGTCGCTGTCTCTCTCACAAGCATATCGCGTTCCGTGGAGGCGAGAGAGATAAAGGGAGCGCGGCGGGGCGGCCAAGGCGCCGCCATCGAGTCCGCGCGTCATTCCGATTGACCCGCCGACGCAAAAAGCCATTCGCTGGTTGCTTATGCATGCGGAGGACGGGACGGGGGCTCCTCCTTCGAGTGCTTCGTCGCGCTGTCTCTCTCGCACCGGTACCGTGCGCCCCACGAGTGCGAGAGAGACAGAAGCCGGCGGCGCAAGGAATATCGGATACACAGTAGGCGCAATAAGCAGACAATTCGGACTCTCGACGGCGCGCGGAGAGAACAAGCTGACAGGTCCTCGCCGCGCTGCCGCCACGCTCAAGACCCCCGTCTCATTCCCAGTGTCCTCAGCGCCTCGCTGTCACGCCCCCGCAGTGGATCCGCGAGGACAATTTCCCCCCGGCTGAACAGCATGCCGACGTATTCATCGGCCAAGAAGCGGCAGTGGGTCGGGCCGGGCCACCCCGAGCCTCCTCCGAGTCTTCCCCGAAGCGCCCCCCGAGGCCTGCCTCTCCTCCCGGCTGAAATTCAAAACAAACGCTACGCCTGCCGGGCCCGGCCCGCGGCACAAGGTAGAAACCCTGAGCCAGCAGCAACAATATCCTACTGCTGACGCCACAGACCTGCCCCCTTTCTCTCTCTCTCTCTCTCTCTCTCTCTCTCTCTCTCTCTCTCTCTCTCTCTCTCTCTCTCTCTCTCTCTCTCTCTCTCTCTCTCTCGCACCCACACCCAGACCGCGTTGTGCTGCACCTTTCGCCGCGCGGTTTATGCGGCCCCCATGCCAGCCCCGGCGGGTGTGCTGCCTGCCGGCCGGGCTGCCCTGCCGCGGCGCGCGCAGAGCCGCGCAGAGCCGCACAGAGCGCCCGCGAAGTCGGGGTTAGGCAACCCTGCGGGCGAGCGCGCTCGGCGGGACGGCCTACCCGGCAGGCTGTTCTTGACAGGCCTTCGTCTCGCCGGTCTCGCCGCCGTGCCGCTCCGCTGCGCCACGCTCCGCCGGGGAGGGGGGGGGGGGGGAGGGGAGGGGAGGGGAGGGGCCTGCACTATATTTCCGCACGCCGGCTGATGGATGCACAGGTGGATGCACTCACAGTGCCGTACCTCGCCGTGCCGAGTGCGCCGAGTGCAGCGCAGTGCAGCGCACTGCAGGGAAAGGGAAGCTCCTCTCGGCGCCCGCAAGATTAACGAGCACGCCACGCCACTGTGTTTTATCGGCGGATTTAAGTCTCGGCTCCTTCGCTCTTTCGTTCGGCGTTGTAGTCGCGGCGCTTTGCGGCAATTAGCTCTCCTCGAGTGGCGACATGCCGACGGCACGACACTGGTTGGCAGGCTCGGACTGGCCAGGGCAGACAGGCAGAAAAATCTGCCGGGGCCTTTGGATTTGTGACCAGTAACGTCACGAAGTTGGTCAAAAAGTGATTGAATCTCCGAAAGTGGCCGTTTTCGCTGAATTTGAGCGGCCACTGCTTCGATCTAGTTGCGGCCAACGGCCTCCCTCGACGTCCTAGTATTCTTAAGACCCTACTCTTTCATGCCCTGTATCGGGAAGACGTTGACCACAACGATTTTGCCTTTGACCGCAACGATTTTGGGACCAAAGTTGGTCAAAAAGTGGTCGAATCTCGGAAATTTGCTGATTTTGCTGACTTTGGGGGGCCACTGTGTCCAATCTAGTAGCCGTAAAAGGCCTCCCTCGACGTCCTAGTATTCTTAAGACCCTACTCTTTCATGCCCTGTATCGGGAAGACGTTGACCACAACGATTTTGCCTTTGACCGCAACGATTTTGGGACCAAAGTTGGTCAAAAAGTGGTCGAATCTCGGAAATTTGCTGATTTTGCTGACTTTGGGGGCCACTGTGTCCAATCTAGTAGCCGTAAAAGGCCTCCCTCGACGTCCTAGTATTCTTAAGACCCTACTCTTTCATGCCCTGTATCGGGAAGACGTTGACCACAACGATTTTGCCTTTGACCGCAACGATTTTGGGACCAAAGTTGGTCAAAAAGTGGTCGAATCTCGGAAATTTGCTGATTTTGCTGACTTTGGGGGGCCACTTTGTCCAATCTAGTTGCCGTAAAAGGCCTCCCTCGACGCCCTAGTATTCTTAAGACCCTACTCTTTCATGCCCTGTATCGGGAAGACGTTGACCACAACGATTTTGCCTTTGACCGCAACGATTTTGGGACCAAAGTTGGTCAAAAAGTGGTCGAATCTCGGAAATTTGCTGATTTTGCTGACTTTGGGGGGCCACTGTGTCCAATCTAGTAGCCGTAAAAGGCCTCCCTCGACGTCCTAGTATTCTTAAGACCCTACTCTTTTATGCCCTGTATCGGGAAGACGTTGACCACAACGATTTTGCCTTTGACCGCAACGATTTTGGGGCCAAGTTGGTTAAAAAGTAGTCGAATATCGGAAATTTGGTGATTTTGCTGACTTTGGGTGTCCACTGTGTCAAATATAGTTGCCGTAAAAGGCCTCCCTCGACGCCCTAGAATTCTTAAGACCCTAGTCTTTCATGCCCTGTATCGGGAAGACGTTGACCACAACGATTTTGCCTAGGCTATTGACCGCAACTTGTGTGGGAGCGGTAGACTCACAAAGTTGGTCATGAAGGGTAAAAACTATGATGATCGGGGGCCTTTTGCCGTCTTATCTGCCGGGGCCTTTTGGGGGCCAGTCCGAGCCTGCTGGTTGCAGAAAAAATAAAAACATTCGAGGAACTGTCTAGAGATATTGTTGCGCGATCGAAGCGGCCCGGCCCGGGGTGTCTACGACCCTCCAAAGTAATTGCCTGGAAGGTTGAGAGCGAGTCCGCCTCGAGCCGCCTTGGGCCCGGGCCAGGCCCGGCCAGGCCTCGGCTTCGGCGGCGCGTTTCGCCGTGTTTCTGCCCTTAAATGTATTGAGAATACCGCATTATCGCGCGGCGTGTTGCTTTAATCCGAATGCAAAGTCAGGCCGGGGCGCCAGGGGGCGCGCGGGACGCACAGTGGGCCAGAGGACCGGTGGAGGCACACAAAATTCTAGACGCGTTTTGAGATCCAGAGTCGCAAAATGGGACTCGAACCGAGCGTCTGACCCCGCCAATGGATTTCTCGTTCGGAGAACAATCCATTGGTGGTGTCACACGTTGGTTTCGAGTCCCACTCAGCGACTCTGGAGCTCAAAACGCTTCTAGCATTTTGGCCGCCACCGCCGGTCTTCTGGCCCACTGTGGGACGCACCGCGTCGCACCGGTCGCCCCGCGCCGCGAGGGGCGGACCCCGCCGTCTCGGGGCGCCACGGTGTAGCGCAATGTGTAGCCCGCGCCGTTTTCATAATGATCTCACAGAAAACACAACCACAGCGCGTCGGGCCAACGCGTTTGATAAAACGCAGCTGCACTCGATTGCCCCACGCCGTCGTCCCTTGCAGCCTTGCACACGGACGCCACATAATCGGCCGGCGCGTTGCTGTTTCGTGAAAATATTCGACGAGCTCCGCAATTTAATCGCAAGCAGGCATCTCTTGAGAGGCTCCGGCCGCTCCGGCCGCGCCGGCCGACTCGGGCAGCCGTTGCCTGCCTTGTGGCCTGCGCCAGCGGATCGGCACGGCGCGGCGCGCAAGGCAGAGCAGAGCAAGAGCGGCAAGAGGATGCCACGCGGATTGGCTGAAATCGGTGGCGAAGGGCACGTCCCCCGCGTAGCCGAGTGCACTGAGGCGTCGGATACCGGAGTTGACGACGCGGGTTCGAATCCCGATACGGCGCCGCCGAGATTTTACAGCCGGCCTTATCGAGGAGTGTTACAGCGGGCGTGCCGAGTGTCTGCGCAGCGCCCCGCGCTCCGTTTTCGTTTTATTCGGAACGGCCAGGCTGCTCCTCGCTCGAACAAGCGGGGGTCACGTCTCTGCCGTTGACACGGGAAGAGGACCGCGCCAGTAAGGACTGAGGACGAGGCTCGACCTCCCACAGTGGGCCAGAAGACCGGTGGAGGCGCCCAAAACTCTATACGCGTTTTGAGCTCCAGAGCCGCTAAACAGGACTCGAACCGAACGTGTGACGCCACCGATGGATTCCCCGTTCGGAGAGGACTTCATTGGTGGGTCACACCCTCGGTTAGAGTCCCATTTAGTGACTCTAAAGCTCAACTCGAGTCTAGAATTTTGGCCGCCTCCAGCGGTCTCCTGACCCACTGTGCCTCGGCCCTCATCAAACCGGAGCCCTTGGAGCGAATTACGGGCCACCTGGCTCCGCCCAGGCCGGCCGAGGCCGGGAAGACCGAGACCATGCACCCACAGCGGAAGTCTGTGTTTCTTTCGTCGAGTCCGGCTCCTCGCAACTTTTGCTGCCCCGTGGAAACTAAGTGGCCCCTCGAGGACGCCA